TTAACAGAGGATTAACCCTTAAAAACAACAGCCTGTTGCATATTCATACATCTCACACATGATGCATAAATTCCATTCAAACAATGGATTCTGTCTGGTCGGTGTCAGCTTCTTCCTCTGAATCCTGATGGTGTCTTCAGAGCTGAGTGAGGTGGGAAGAAGTTCATTTCTTCTGATAATGGGGCAATAAATTCTCTTTCTCTGAAAGATTGGGGTGTCCTGAGGCTGCTGTCTGGTGTGAGCACCTCATTCCTTTTTAAAAAAATATCCCACTTACATTGTTCCTATTTTAACTACAAAAGTTACCTTTTAACTAGAAAACTACATTTACCATACAATTAAAACATTAATACAGCACTACTAATCAATACAACAAAATACCTACAGTAAATATCTGCATAGAGCCATATAATATGCACTTTTCACAGGGAGAGAACTGGAACTGAACAGTCCGAGGTGTGCACCCACCCTGGACTGAGCTGGCTTTGAGCTCCCATTAAACTCTGCCATATCCAAGCTCTGCCCTATCCCAACTCTGCCATATCCAAGCTCTGCCATATCCAAGCTCTGCCATATCCAAATTCTGCCATATCCAAGCCCTGCCGTATCCAAGCTCTGCCATATCCAAGCTCTGCTATATCCAAATTCTGCCATTCCAAACTCTGCCCTATCCCAACTATGCCATATCCAAACTCTGCCATATCCCAACTCTGCCATATCCAAACTCTGCCATATCCAAGCTGTGCCATATCCCAACTCTGCTATATCCAAGCTCTGCCATATCCAAGCTCTGCCATATCCAAGCTCTGCTATATCCAAACTTTGCCATATCCCAAGTCTGCCATATCCAAAGTTTGCTATATCCAAACTCTGCCCTATCCAAACTCTGCCATATCCAAACTCTGCCATATCCAAGCTCTGCCATACCCAAACTCTGCTATATCCAAACTCTGCCCTATCCAAGCTCTGCCATATCCCAACTCTGCCATATCCAAGCTCTGCCATACCCAAACTCTGCTATATCCAAACTCTGCCATATCCAAGCTCTGCCATATCCCAACTCTGCCATATACAAACTCTGCCATATCCAAATTCTGCCATTCCAAACTCTGCCCTATCCCAACTCTGCCATATCCAAGCTCTGCTATATCCAAACTTTGCCATATCCAAGCTCTGCCATATCCTAACTCTGCCATATCCAAACTCTGCCATATCCAAGCTCTGCCATATCCAAACTCTGCTATATCCAAACTTTGCCATATCCAAACTCTGCTGTATCCAAGCTCTGCCATATCCAAGCTCTGCCCTATCCAAACTCTGCTATATCCAAACTCTGCCATATCCAAACTTTGCCATATCCAAGCTCTGCCATATTCAAACTCTGCCCTATCCAAACTTTGCCATAACCAAGCTCTGCCATATCCTTGCTGCAGGGACTGAGGAAAACAAGGTGGTTGTATCTCAATACGACACAAAATGAACGACACTCACAGCTGAGATGTCCAAGGCAAAAAAAGGCACATTTATTTCTGGACCTTAATATTTATAGAATTCCAAAAGTGACCATGGATTGGAGGATGAAAATTGCCACCTCTCCAACCACACTGGTCAAACCAACAGTTTGACCATCAATTCTCTCCTCCTCCAGAAAGGAATGCAAAACAATCATTATTTACATGAGAAGCGAGTGAGAAACTCCATTACAAAAATGTAAACATCAGAAGGCTTGGAAGAGCTTTAGAAGAACTGTAGAAGAACAGGGTGACAGGGCTGCTAGGATTGAAGGCAGTGAGAAATTCCTGATGTGTGGCAGGTGGAACAGTCCCTCACTGTGAGAACACAATCCCCTCCAAATGCATAATCTGTTTCTCGTGAAGCACATGTGGCCCCGTATAGAAGTTTTAGGTCAAGTGATTCAGTTGAAGATTAGCCTCAATATTCTGAAAGGGGAGACTGTGGCTGCTCAGGGGACTTTAATTCCTCATAAAGGATTATACTGGGGCACCACACTGCTGCCACGGTGTCAAATCTTTTTGTGGGTTTGCTAAATTAACCTTTGTAATGGAAAAGCTTATTATGCACTTCCAGCCAAAGGAGGAGACGAGTTTGGGTCTGTAGCAACTTAAAATGCCAGTGATTAGGATCCTAATCTAATATTAATAGTTTTGGGGCTTTTCTTCTATTTCTCCTTAAAGAACATTTCCTTACTGTATTGCAAATGACTTGCTGAGAGTTTCAGGAAGAATTTCTCCATGGAAAAGGGTGGTCAGGCATGGGAAGGGGCTGCTCAGGGAGGAGGAATGTCCAAGGAATGACTGGATGTGGCCCTCAGTGCTCTGTGCTGGTTGAGAGGGTGATGATCAGTCAAAGCTTGGACTTGATGATCTTGGAGGTCTTTTTCAAGCTGATTCTGTGTCTCTGTGATGAGTCCTGCTCTGATTTAACAGCGTGTGCAGGATACTTAAAATGGAAAACTCTATCAGAGTGACAGGAACACGTGAAGGTCATGAGGGGGAAAATGCTGCAGTTAAAGATAAACCAATCATCACTTGTGAAACTCTGGAAAAGTGACTTTAATGTGTGTAATGTTAAATCTCGCAGTCCTATGTGGGGAGAGGAAAGGTTTCAGTTTTAGGCAGTGATATCTGTGTTTCCACATGTTGGCAGCTGCTGAGCCTGTATTTTAAGGTTGCATGCCCCTCATTGATGGCAGTGTGCATTTTTTACCCTCCCTCATGAGTTTGTGCAATATTTACTGCCTGGTGCATAATGCAAATAATTGGTGGCACATTCTAATATTTAAGTCTCTTACAGGTTTAACAGGGTTGGAAGCGAGCAGCTTCTCATTACACTGAAGAGGGAGAATGAAGGACTTTGTTCCTGCATTTCCAGTTTATTAAATATTGCCATGCCTGAAAGGCCTGATTGTTCCCTGCCCTTTGCCTTCAGATGCTGCTGTGGATGGGGGCCTTGGTGTGAAGGACAAGCTGGCTGACCTTGTGGGGTGCCATGGATTTCTCTCCTCAGAGCTGCTGTTCCTTTTGATAGATTGTCCTTGCTTTCCCTTTCAGGACTGGTGCCACAAACAGGCTGTGTGGATACTCTGATATTTTTGTACCTGTGACCCTGGTGCCTTCCAAACAAGTTGTTTCCTCTAGGTCCAGGGCAAGATTTATAGGGAAAAATTACTGGCCTGTTTAGGAAAAAAAAAAAAAAGGCACTCAGGGAAATGGTTGTTTTGATCCATTTGGTCAGTTACATTTTCTATTCTACATTTCTATTTCTATATTCTATTCTGCCATGAGTATTGTAGGATCAGATATTTCTAGAGAGATGTTTTTGTCTATTGAATTGCCCCTGGGCTGGGTGTGCTGGGGAAGAGGATTTGCTGTGGATTTGGGAGATCAGACAGCAGCATGACATTGGTTTTGGTGCAAAATTACCTCTCTTGTGGCATAGGGGGAGTGTGAATTGAGAATATTGACAAGAAGAAAATTTAAAGAGAATAAGTGGAGATGAAAACAAATAATGACGTTAGGAAGAAGGAGAAATGAGAAGATAACACACAATTCTTTTTTTCTAGGAGCTGGCAGACAATGAGGGTTTTTTTACAGCATTTCCATGTTCCAGCTACAGCCTGTGCTGATCATGAGAGCTCTGGGATAGTTCACATGTGGGATTTACATCTGCCTGCATATCCACCAGGGTGGCCAAATGGATTGCCAAACCCTGACTCTGCATTTAAATGGATTTTCCACCCTTCTGTTTTAGTTTTAATTGAACCACATAAACATTGCCAACATGTGAGATTAGTTTTTGACACCTTACTTAGCATTTTTTTATTATTAGAAGCTTTACCTAGAAGCACTGGTAATTAAAATAAAGTAAGCAAGTAAGAAAAAAAAGACAAAAGGGAAAGAGATCCTGAAGAATTTAAATGCTGGTCAGGGCTCTCTCCACCTTCCTTACACAGTTTTTGTGCCTTCACATGGAAATCCTGCAGGGCAAGGTGGATGCAATTGGTCCAAATCTGGAATTCTCATTGGAACACAGTTTGCTTACACTTAGAATAACATGGAGTTAAGGGTTTTAATAAAGGTTTACTGGCAAAGATAATTAAATCAGAAACAAGTTGAAATGCTCGAAGGAGGTGGTGTTGTCACTCTAGAACATCCTTGCCTGAGGATGTAATTATGGTGGCATGAAATTTTGGAATGGATTAATCTAAATGAGAAAAACGCCCTGCATGTTCTTAACTATAAATTTTCCCTAGAAATTGTTTTTACAGTTCCTGTGGTCAGTCTCCCTGTCTAGAAAAGCCTTTGGAGTTCCTCTGGTAAGAGAGTTATTGTGGCAAGAGAATGAGGAAGTTTGTGTTTCTCCTTTTGCTGAGTTTCTTGTCATGCAGGACAATTTTTCCATTTCTTTTATGGAAAAAGGTCTTTGAGATCTTGGCTGTTGCTCTCTCTAAGAAGTTGCTGTTTTGGTGAGAGGGCAGAATTTTGGCACTGAAACTGCCGTGATTGGAGGGCAGCCTGCTCCAAGACTGTTAACTTGGAGTGTTGAATATTTTAACAGCATCCTGCTAAAATACTCTGGGAGGACTCAGAGTATTTATAGTATTACAGCATTTCACTATTTTATATTGCTGCCACTTAGAGAATGGCAACAAGGCTTCATAGCCCTGTTTAAAAACCATCCTGCAGTGAGGCAAGAGTGTGAGACCCTGTAATCCCATTTGTGTCATGGCAGGAACTGCTGCTCCCACTCACAATTTGGCTTTTGATAGTTATTTTGATAGTTATTTTGATAGTTATTTTGATAGTTATTTTGATAGTTACTTTCATAGTTATTTTTGATATTGCAGCATGCTGATGTTGGCATCAGCCCCTCAGGAGGTGCTGTTAATGCCTGTTTGTCATCAATATTCAGTGGAAATGAACTTTCATTGCTCCCCAGATGTGATTAAGGGTTCAGTGAGCTTTTCTTTCTTCTTCCAGGTTATAAGACCCTTTTGAAAGGAATTTCAGGGAAGTTCAGCAGTGGAGAACTCGTTGCAATTATGGGACCTTCAGGAGCTGGGAAGTCAACACTTATGAATATTCTGGCAGGATACAGGTAAGTACCAATGAAAATCCCAAGTTAAGATAAAATCACTGAGCCTGAGGGCTCCTTGGAGACAACAGAAGAAGAAATTTTGGCCTGGAGTTTGTCAAAAACAGGCACTTCAAAGATTTTGAATTAGATTCTTTTTGCTTATCTTTTTTCCTCTGTGTCCTGTTTTGGTCACTTGGGATTTATCTCTCAACAGGTCTGATCCAAAAATAAAAAGCAATTTAAAATCCAAAAAACACACATATAAAGAAAATCTCCTTTTTTGGCTGCGTAACAAATCTGACTCAGTGTCTTATGTTTGTGATGTTTTTTAAAATCACATAAACACTTGAAAAATCTACTCTTTTTAGTCACCACTTCATAATGTTGATGTCTTCTTCACCAAAATGCAGTGACTGTGCTTCATTTTTCTAAATCCCCTCCTGTATGGACATACAAGGTGTCTCTGTCTTGTCATTTGGGCATAAGGAACAGGATAGAGAAACCTAAAAAAAAACCCCTCAAATTCAAGTTCTTGATATTTCTTCAGATTTATATATGACAGCATACATTTTGAGTAAAATTTTCAGCATCATGGCATGAAGCTTTCTATGAAAGAAAACCTAATCAGGAAATAATTTCATTTCTATCCAGTCTACCAGATTTATTTCACAGTGGCAGCAACTGCCTATGACTTCCAGGTGCTGAGTCATTTGGGAGCACAAGTGATGGTGATATTCAGCTCTGGTTGTTTTGCTGTTTCAGAGAGACGGGGATGAAAGGAGAAATCCTCATCAACGGGCAGCCCCGCGACCTGCGCTCCTTCCGCAAGGTGTCCTGCTACATCATGCAGGATGACATGCTCCTTCCTCACCTCACTGTCCAGGAAGCTATGATGGTGAGCTTGCTTCCTTGCTCTAGTTTGTCTGAGCAGCAGAAAATGGGGAATGGTTTGTGCTGTGCCCTTGGTCCTGCCCCTGGACCGTTATCCCCGTCCGATCCCGCTCAGTGAGAGTTCTCGGAATTTGGTGATGCCTTCAGTTCCATTTCGGGCTCATCCTTCTTTGGCTTTATAATTTCCAGTTTGTGCCCAGCATTATGATTTGGAAGGAGATCTAAGTGTCTGCTCCTTAGATCTAGAGAATGGAACCTGAAATTCTTCACAAATGAGCCTTTGTAGGGACCATCTGTTTGCTTGGGTGGTGGATGAGTAACCTCATCTCTCTCTCTTTCTCCCCATCTTTCATGTTCTGACTGAAAATTGGTATTTACACTTCAGTGTGATCTCTCTGCCACTTCTACTCTTTGGTGCCTTTTTTTAAAAATAAAGGCATTTTATAAAATCTCTTTCATTTCTTCATGGGGAAAAAAACCAGGAACAGAATAAGTCCAAGATGCACAGGCAATGTTAATTCTTCTCACTGTTTTGCATCACATCAGCAAGTTTATGAATTGCCAGCTTGACCAGTTAGTCTGGAAGTGTCTGTCTCAAGCTCAGCTTGAGAAATGAGCCAGTTTTTCTCAGAAATTGTTATCAAAACAAGCCTCAGGTTGCTCACACTGTGCCAGCTCAATTCACAAATTTTTAGGCCAGGAGAAATCACTCCAGTTTTTATGTGGCTGATTTTCTGCAAAGGTTCTTTTCTGTGGAGAAGTTTTTTGTCTCTTTTGTTTACTTGAGTGTTTTCATCAGAATCCCACGGGACCACTTTTGCAGAATTTGGCCCAGATCATAGTTGCTGTCTAAAATTAATCAATCAAGGCTCTGACAAAAAATAATTACCTAACAGTTTAATTGCTTTTAAGAAAGGTTAATCATGATGTTTTGTGGAGCTGCCTTTCAGGACAGCAGATGACATCTTTCACAAGATTATTTATTTCTGTGCTCACTTGTTTGCATGCTGGAGAATGGCAGAGTTCAGTTATCCTTCCAGTGAGAATGAAGCACAAATAAACGCTGTTTCTAGGATTATCTGGGAAGTTTTTGGATGTGCAAAATATGTTACTCCCCCATCCTCCTGTAAAGCTCTTTGATTTGCAGAATGGCCTTTTTTTTAATACACTTTCTCTCAGGTGCTTTCCCTAAGTCAAATTAAACTCAGTTATTTACTGCACAGAAAAATGTGATGCTTGTGACTGGAACATTGTAGTTCAAGTTCAGATTTTCTGACTGGGTTGAAAGGAGTTGTTTAAGGGATACCTTGGATTGCTGTGCCTGAGACATCTCCTCTCAGTGGTGGTTGTGCTTCAGAGCAGCTCAAAATCAAATTCCACTGTTTTGCATTCCAGGTATCTGCTCATCTGAAACTTCAAGAGAAAGATGAAGGGAGGAGAGAAATGGTATGTACACTGCCCATCAAACTGGAATTTGGGGGATGCCAAGAAGTGAGCTCTGTAAAGCAGACATTTGTATCTGACATTGAGCTGCACTGGACTTGCAGTGACAGAATAATTCATATTCTCTAGGCTGACAAGTGCATTAGGGGGAATGTTCACTGCAGTCTCCATGAAAGCTGCTTTCAGTACAAGACTGGAAAATTGGGAAAGGTTCACTGAAACAAATCCACAGGTTCTGCAGGATTCCTGTTAATGCACCTTGGGTTCTCCAATGTGCATCTCATGTGGGGTGAGATAAATCACCCAGCTGGACCTGCATGAGGACCTGTGCTCCTCTAACCCATCCATGGGGAAAAGCACAACTTTTCCTGAAATATGAAACCTGTGGCAATTTCCTAGGTAGATCAGCTGGTTTTGTGATTGTCCTTTCTCTGTGTTTATTTCCAAATTGGAGCAATGGGCATTTCTTCAGACTCAAAAGAACCCTTGAAAATCAGAAAGGGAAACTTACAGGAGTCAACTTGTTGTGAAAAAAAGAAGCACAGGTTATTTTCTTATTGGAAAATATATTTCTATAGAAACAGCTGTTAACTTAATTGTACTTTGGAAGCCTTAGTTCATTTACACTTTAGTGAAGTTAGGCCAAGCAAGTTAATTCACTTGTTCACACTGTCACTGTAATTACAAGCAGCTCTTTGAGTTAAAATCTGTGCTGTGTTTATTCAACACATGTTAGAAGAATTTTCTAGTTCATGTGCAGGAGAAGATAATTAGTTTTATTGTTGTAAATTGAGAATAAATGTTTATCACAGATAAATGTTATGAATTTATACACTTGTGTCAGCAGGATTGCAGACTCCTGTTTAAAGCAGGGACCATGAAAATCCTCAGGTGAACCACAGTTTATGTTTCTAGCTGTCCTTGCTTGTGCTGCCTGAGTCCTGTTTACCCTTCTCAGAGATAAAGGGAATGAGGCAGTTGGGTTTTTTTCTCTGAGAAGCAAGGCTTGGTGGGTTTTGTTACTTTTTTACTCCCCCTTTCTGGGAGAGAGAACTCCTGGCAATCAAAATCAGGACAAGCAAAGGGTCAGGCCCTGGTTGGTGTCAGCAGTTTTCACCAGGTCAGGCACTCTTTCTGGAGAACTCTCTCCATCCAAGCAGTTGATGCTTTGAAAAATGGTGGGCTCTGTTTCCTAAGCTTCAGTGAAGTATTAAATGCCTGGGCTGCTTTCTACCTTTGAAGTGGTGGAGTTTGTTAATTGAATGAGCCATGTAGCTCATGGATTCACTCATTTTTGTGTCCATGCTTTTATTGAAGCCAAAGAGCCATTTTCCATATATAAGAATGCCAGCCCAGATCTACAGTCACTGAAACAGAAAAAATCCTAGAGCCTGGGATTGTCCTCCTTTTGCTCCAAAAGCCCTGGGACGAGCTGTGCCCTCCTGAGGCTGTGCCTTGAGGGAATCCCAAACATCTGAGAGTCCCTGTGACAACTGCATTGACCCTGAGTGGAATGAAAACACTTGAAATCAATGGCTGCACTTGAAAGAGGAGACTGTGGAGAAGAGATGAGATAAAGCAGGTCACTGCTCCACAGAATCCTCTGGTTTTTGTTATAGATCCCTGGTAGAGACAGCCCCAGAGTTCTACTGAAAGAGGCTTCTTGGTTTCACTGTGTAAGAGCCCCTCACAGGCTGCAAAGCTCTTTTGATGTCAGTGCCGTGCCCATAAATACACAGCTACAGAAGAGCTGATTTCCACTCCTTTTTCACCTCTTCACTGAGTGAGGTCATGCAGGACAAACAAGCAGAATTTGGGTCAAAACAGTAAATGGCAGAAAAACCTGTCAACACTGAGTCTAATAAATGACTAATAAATACATTAGATGGGAAAAGGCTTTATGTGGGTGATGGAACAAAGTTGTGAGCTGGTCTGCACCCTCCATGAAAATCAGTGAAGGGGCTGGAGGTTTGTCATGTTCCAACACTCTGGAATGTTCTGCTCCCTCCAGGTGAAGGAAATCCTGACAGCCCTTGGTTTGCTGGCTTGTGCCAACACGAGGACTGGGAGCCTCTCTGGGGGCCAGAGGAAACGCCTGGCCATTGCTCTGGAGCTGGTGAACAACCCCCCTGTCATGTTCTTTGATGAACCCACCAGGTACTTCAAGGCCAAAAATCAAACATAGACAAAAATGCTTTTGCGTAGTAGAACACAGCTACAGAAAAGCCATTCCCCTCTAAATCCTTGGAAAAAGCTCATTTTGTGTTGTCTGCAAGCGCTGAATTAGGCCAAGAAATAATTTGATTTGGGTTCTTGGTGCCTTGGGTCACTGCTGGAACTGCTGGGCTGTGGGGCTGTAAGTAAAATTTAAAGCAGACACAAACTGCTGGGTTGTAGGTTTGTAAATGATATTTAAAGCAGACACAAACTGCTGTGGACTGTGGGGCTGTAAGTAATATTTAAAGCATTCACAACCTGGAAGGAAAGGAAGGAAAAGAGAGGAAAATATTGTGGCACGGATTTTATTTTTCAAGCAAAGACTGCTTGAATGTAAACATTTTAAAATGTGACTTTTGGTAATGAATGTGATCAGTCTGGGAGGAGGCTGGCAAAGCTATGAATATGTATCTGTTCATTAAAGCTGGGAGCATTTAAATCTGCAGCCCTAAAATGTAGAAGTCCCTTAAGGCAGCTTTGACAATACTCTTTTTCATTCTCAGGCATGCTTCCAACTTAATTAAAAGCCTGATGGAGAAGTTACAAGCATAAGGTTGGCATATGATAAAATGAAACTGCTACAGAGAAGATTTGTCAAAGGATAATAATGGGATACCTTGCAGCAAATGCATGTGCTGGTTTTGAGCGGTTGCCTGTGGATAATAAACTTGTTTGGGTTTTTTTTTCCAGTGGCTTGGACAGTGCATCATGTTTTCAGGTGGTCTCTCTGATGAAGGCTTTGGCCCAGGGTGGCAGATCCATCATCTGCACGATTCACCAGCCCAGTGCAAAACTGTTTGAGCTCTTTGACCAGGTATTGCTCTCAGACTTTCTCTGCATGTGTAGCTCAGGGTGCTTATGCTTTCAAGGCATAACCACCTTTTAATCAAAAAACCATCAAAAAACCATCAAAAACCATCAAAACCCAAAAACCATCAAAAAGGCATAACCACCTCTTTAATCAAAAAAACACGAATAATTCTGGTTGATGGCTACAAATCATATAAAGAAATTAAATAAATAACAGCAAAATAGACTTTTTTATTATTTTTTTTCCTTCTTCTCTGCCTGTTTCCTTTATTTATGCGTAATGTTTGTGAAGACTCTTGCTGTTATCAAGACCATTGCACTGGTGATTATGATGCCCTCACCCTTGCAGAGGGCTGTCACTGAAAGTAAATCAGAGCAATATAAAAGCAGGAGAGCTGCAGTGTCAATGTCTGCAATAGATCTGTGTATCCTAGATACACAGGTGTAGATTGAGAAGAGTTAATTCACATGAAATAATAATAATAATCAAATTTAGTATTGAAAATTAATTGAAATGAAGTCAGTCAGAGAACTTTTCTCCAAGCCAACAATGGCATGTGGACCATGTGTGTTTAGGCTAGATAAAAAATGTATTTTAGTCTTGTCAGAGGGTTTAGATTAGCCCTGTGAGAGCTGAGAGAAAACCTCCACCACCACAGGTGAACAAACTCTTGCAGATTGCCAGTCTGGCAGGGAGGTTTATTTAAAGTCAAAATCGTGGCTAAAAGTGAGAGTGATGGAGCTGTTTGCTGTTGCTGTGCTGTCCCAGCTCTCCTTCCATCCCTGCCCAAAATATCCATAATGTGTGGAAATTAGATGGCTTGGCTCTCCAGCTCCTTGCCTATTTTCAGCATGTGCCAAAGGCTGGAATGAGTGTGTTTCTGTGTTAATGTGTTTGAAGTCCTGCAGGCAATGTGTGCAGAATTCCAGCTCCAGGCATTACATTTTCCATTAGCTGAGATTCCATGCAAAGTTAATTTCGAGTGGTGACAGATCTTCCCAAGGTGTTCTTCCCACAGGGACAAGGAGATGTTATCAGGCAACAGGTTCAAATATTTTGATGCTATCTCACTTTTTTCTTATTTATTTTCCTTTCCTTTCCTTTCCTTTCCTTTCCTTTCCTTTCCTTTCCTTTCCTTTCCTTTCCTTTCCTTTCCTTTCCTTTCCTTTCCTTTCCTTTCCTTTCCTTTCCTTTCCTTTCCTTTCCTTTCCTTTCCTTTCCTTTCCTTTCCTTTCCTTTCCTTTCCTTTCCTTTCCTTTCCTTTCCTTTCCTTTCCTTTCCTTTCCTTTCCTTTCCTTTCCTTTCCTTTCCTTTCCTTTCCTTTCCTTTCCTTTCCTTTCCTTTCCTTTCCTTTCCTTTCCTTCTTTCCTTTCCTTTCCTTTCCTTCCCTTCCCTTCTTTTTCTTTTTCTTTTTCTTTTTCTTTTTCTTTTTCTTTTTCTTTTTCTTTTTCTTTTTCTTTTTCTTTTTCTTTTTCTTTTTCTTTTTCTTTTTCTTTTTCTTTTCCTTTTCCTTTTCCTTTTTCTCTTTTTTCTTTTTTCTTTTTTCTTTTCACTGTTGAGACTATGGACCAGTCTACCCGGATGATCTCAACCTCCCTTAAAGAGGATTTTTCAATTAAAAGTGGTGTCAAAACTTAAAGAACTTGGTTATTCTTGGTTGAGACTATTCCACATTTTTTCTTAATTCTTTTTTTTTTCTATTTCCTTTTTTTTTTTTCCTTCTTGTTTTCCAGCTCTATGTTCTAAGTCAAGGTCAGTGCATTTACCGTGGGAAGGTAACAAACCTTGTCCCTTACTTGAGAGATTTGGGGCTGAATTGTCCAACCTACCACAACCCAGCAGATTTTGGTAAGGACAGATTGAATAGTTTATTTCATTTATTTTGTATTTTATCATTTTATAATTTTATCACCTTCAGGGTAAAGGGAACCATGGTGTGATTTATACTTCTGTACATATATTCTTATGTGCTTTGTCCATATATCAACCAAAATAAAAGTAATCAGATTTTTTTTTTTCCAAAGTAATTTGAATGCCACCTAGTGGTGCAATTTAGCGAATATTGCTCTCTGTTAGAAGTGCAGGAAATGAAAGATAAAGTGTATTCTTTAGTGTTTCATAGTAACTAATATTAGTAACTTTTTAAAGTGGCTTCAGTTTTCTGTTTGTTTTCTTTTATCTTGAGCAGTAGTACAGCTTATAGCATTGAGGGTTTTTTCAGTGTGGCTTTTAATTTTAAAATAATGGAAAGTGCCACGAAAATAGACTTTTGTCTATTTTCTGTATAAAAATGAACTGGTTCATTTAACTTCCAGGATGAAGAGATCTCTCTCTGACGATTTATGGAAAGATAAATTAAAAAATTTAAATGTTGTTTGTGTGTGGATATGAATTTGCACGTGGCATTTTAAAGCCTGCACCAAAAAAAAAAAAATTTAAAAAAATTAAAAAAAAATAAAAATTTAAAAAAAATTAAAAAGTTAAAAATCTGGTTTTGTCAGTGCATCAAGGGACTTAACAACAAATCTGGTCAGCAGTAACTTCAGCCTTTGCAAAGCAGTAATTTCTAACGTCAACCCTTGTAAAGCAGTAACTTCAGCCTTTGCAAAGCAGTGATTTGTAAGTTCCCCCTTTGCAAGGCAGTAACTTCGAGCTGTGTTTTTCAGTGATGGAAGTGGCCTCGGGTGAGTACGGGGACCAGAGCAGCCGCCTGGTCAGGGCGGTCAGGGAGAGGATTTGTGACCTCCGACTACAAGAGGGACGCGCCCGGGGAGCACGAGCTGAACCCCTTCCTGTGGCACCGGCCCTCTGAGGAGGTACTCTGTGCATCTCTGCAGGGAAGGGCAGGGGGATTTAACCCTCCCTCGGTGGAGGAGGCCCTGGGCACACTCAGCTGATGTGAGTGGGCTTTGGGCTTCCGTTTGTGAATGAAAAGCGAAGCTGCAGGGGAAGGGTTTGTTCTGTGTGTGCTCCTGCAGGACTCCTCCTCCACGGAAGGCTGCCACAGCTTCTCTGCCAGCTGCCTCACCCAGTTCTGCATCCTCTTCAAAAGGACCTTCCTCACCATCATGAGGGACTCGGTAAGAATAAGTTGTAATCTCTTCTGTGGCCAAAAGGTCTGTCCAGCTGGGTGGGAGGCTCCTCAAAGGTCCTGAACAGCAGCCCACCCATGAATTATCACAGAATTGCAAAGGCAAGAGGCTGATCTCTCTGTCTTGCTGTTAACTCTGCCATCTTCATTGTCAATGACAGCTTTCTACTCAGAAGCACCTGGCCTAAAAACCCAAAGTTCAAATCCCCTCTGTGCTGGCAGGTCCCTTACACAGTTATTAATCCTACTGAAAAGTGAGTGGGAAGTTGTAGTGCTGTGTCACAAAATTAGGTTTTCCAGAAAATTCAGGATGGAGGAGATAATAACTTCAGTGTGATGTAATGTTACCACTTAAAATCTTCATTTTTGTAAATGAAAGTTGGTAGATAAAAACTTTGCT